GCACGCGCGTGTCAGAGCGCGCGCTCTCGCGCTCCCTCCTAAAAAGTGAGCCCACTCCCTGAGTCGCCGGAGCAGAAGAAGCCTTAGCGGCCGTGGCCACCAGAGCAAGAAAGGTGACATTATTTCCGAAAGAACTCGCGGCTTTTCTTGATCCAGTCTCGGCCATGGCATCGGTCTTGGGGAACAGCCGAGGTTCCGGAGGGCTAAGTAGTCAACTGAAATGCAAGTCCAAGAGGAGGCGGCGGAGGAGATCGAAGAGGAAAGGTAAGTCGCGGCTGGTCCCCTGGCCCCGTCTGCTGGTCCCTCTCTACTTTTCTTCTCTCCTTCTTCTCTTCTCGCCTTGATCCGATCCGGGCGGGTTGGCCCAGGGCTGGCTGGGGGGTGGACACAGGAAACAGCGTGCTCCAGACTTCCAATCCCTCTGCAAATAACTGGGGGCTTCTGTCAGCCAAGAGGGGCTGCGCCGGCAGAGTTGCCCGGCACCGCACAAGGAGAAGAACATTTACAGGAGGCAGTTTTAAAGGAGGGTGAGCCATAAGGAGCATTTCTTTCTTTGGGCTGAAACGATGGGTCTCCTTTGGGGGATTCCGCAGTCCACTCTCCACAGCCTGTGCCTGGCACTGCCTTTGACCCTCTAGGAGGTCGCTTGATCACCTGGTGCCAAATGAAATGCACCCTTAAGCCAACAGCAATAAAAGCAGGGACAGGAGACCAGAGTGGCAGCTTTTCAGATTCAAATGGCCTTAAAGGAATGGGCAAAACCTAGGTAGTCTCTGCTTCAGGGGCCCCCAATTAGTGACTAGTTGTTACCTAGGAAGGCGCCCCACCCCCACCCCCACCATTGTTTTGCAAACATTGAGATGGTGCTGCTGGTCCTTAGAGCAATAAGTAGACATGACTGTATGAGAACATTAGCAAGCATCACATCTTGTAAGTGGCGCCAAAACTGTGAACCAGAAAAACAGAGGAAAGGAGGCTGGTGTTAGGTGGCACTGGCAAACTGTGACTTCTTATGACAAATCTTGGAGACAGGCTGCATTAAAGTTGGCGTGTGCCTTCGGGACGGCTGCCTCTACAGAGGCGGGCTGGTGGGTGTGCAGTCGCAATTGCTGCCACCCGGGAAGCGCTGCCAGAGATGCCAGCACACCCTCAGAGCCTTCCGCAGGAAGATTAGATTTCTCTCCTGCTATCGGGTCTTCTCCATAGAAAGGAACCCTTGGTATTATTGTCAGCTCCTTATTATATGTTTGCAGAGGAAAGTTGAGTTCTTAGCATTTGAAATCTGTCCACTTAAAAAAAAAATTATGAACGCAGGGCTAAAAGGAGTTGTTGGAAAGACACCACCTTATCTCCACCTTGTCTGATTTATGGGCTTTTTAGAGGTTTCCTAACGCAGAACACATGAGTAGGTATGGTTCAGGTTGTCCATCCTTCATGGAGAATATTCATCTGAGGAGCGGTCCAAGTTAATTTTCTGAAGCATCTGTGGCGAAGGGACTGCTCTTCTTTAAAGGTCCCTACATCTTTTGTTACTTCTTCCATTAATAGTGATTGGCCAGTTTGAAGGCGTGCAGATTGACAGAGAGCAGCATGAAGTATCATCCCGTGCTAGGACCACTGTGACTCGATAGGATCTGAGAACTTTCTGAAAAGGTTGCAGAGTCTCCAGCTATAAAATCAGTTATTTTGTGAAGACATTGAGCTGTCGAACTACTACGATGCATGCTGGTTCTTCACTTTGAGAATTGGAAATATTCCTTTTGAAGCCGACTATGAATGTCTTCCAAAGATAACATCAGAAAGTGATGTTCTGATTGAGGGGAAATCACAGAATGTCATAATAAATATAACTTTCAAAGGAGAAATAGGGAAGCTTTACATTGTGCACAACAAACTGTTTCCCACTTTTGTTCTTAGTGTGAAAAATTACAGAGTGTGAGATAATATTTCAGATAAAGCAATCTACAGGAAAACACCCCAACTGATTGGGAATTGCTCTCTGTCTCCAAATTTATTTTGCTATTCTTTGAATGTCTGTCGTGCTAGCTTGGATAAAACTCAGTTAGGGGAAGAGAGTTGGGGTGTGGCGGAGATGCTTCTGAAGGAAGAAGGCATGTGTTATAAACTTAACTACAACAGTTTAAAAAACATTTTTTGTTTTTTTAATATCTGAAGATTTCTATGTAAGGGCAATTTTGTCTCTGCCAAATTTCTCAATTTTTACAGAAAAAAACTGAAGTGGAAAAGGGTAATCAGGAGCATTATACTAAATGTATAAGAGGATTTTAAGTGTAGGTTTGTATGGCAGTGAAATTTTCTTTGGCATATTCTTACTGGTACCTTGTTTGGTAGGGAAGTCACTTTTCAGGGGAAAAGCCGGAAATGTTGATGCAAGTGATCAAGGTAGATGATAACATAAGAATCTATTGGACACAGAAAGAATGATTTGCATTTGGGGGAATATTTTAGTTGAGATATAAAAGCTAGTGAATACCTAAGCCTGTTTTTCTCTTCTACAAGTCACAATGGCATACTCAAGTAATGTTCCAGAGTCAAAACAATCCTAATCGCATAGAATCACTTCAGTATTATGTTTATTGAATAAGAAAAATAAATCACTTAAGTTATCCATTATACACATCATCATTTTAAAGTCACGTATGCGTTGGTCATGCAGAGGAAATCTTTGTTGACGGCCTATTAAGTACTGAGTGAAGACTGATTTTGAGCACCAATTGAATAAATATAATTGCCAAAATAAATGGGAATCATAGGCAATCAGATTGCTCATGATATGTATATTATGATTTATTCTGATCAATAAGAATCCTTTTGGAGGACGCATCAGGATTTAATTTCCCACTGCGGTGAATTTCTACCATTTTTCTTATGAGTAATCTAAAAGTGGCTTGATTTGATATACTTCTATTATCCAATAAAATTTATGAGCTTAGAAACGAAACAGTTCACACCAATAGCAATAAGTATGGTTTGACACACGACTTTTATCATTATTAAATATGATCCATAGTCTCTGAAATGAAATATTTTTTGTACATGTATTTTGTAGTCCTCATACTACATAAATATTAGGGCATAATTTTCAGGATTCAAGAAAGATTTGGGGAAAAATGTTTAGTCACAGATAACTACTTTAAGAAATGAACAAACAGGATTGGCATTCCTATATTAGATGAACTTTGACAAAAAGACTCAGGATGATACCTTCCCTCTCACCACTCTCCTTTCGATGAACGTATTGGGAACTGGTGCTATATTTTCTACATGTGTTATTTTTAAAGCAGGTGATCTCAGAAACTATTTATGAGTGACTTACATATTTTATATAAATGAAACATGTCAAATTTTAACTTTGACAAGAAAGTCAGATAATTTAAAATAAAAATGTAATATAAAAAAGGCAGGGAAATATGTCATTATTACCTACATTATCAAGGAATATTCATATCCCAGGTACATGTGTGAAGCACTTTAGTTTATTTTACTTCTACTTCATTCAGAAGATTATAGAAAAATCATAGAAGCACTAATAATTTATGGAGATTTCATGGTTAGCTGTCATTTTTAGATACTGAAGTAGTTCATTTATAGCAGATGAGTACTTAGAAATTGTAACTTATTTTATATTTTTCATGAAACTATGTTAGATGATTATCCAAACATATGACTATATGACATTGTTATAGTAAGATAATGTCATATTTACATTAGAAAAGAAAGAAACGTGTGACTATTTTTTTTAAAAAAGAGACAACCTGCACGTTAACCCCAACTAATAAAGATATGGTCTTAAGTTCTTATTTTGTTTATTAATTGTATCAGTTCAACCAGTTAGGGATAATAGGTAGCTCTCATTGGAGGAATAGAGTGTATAAAAATAAAGCACTTAAGTTATCAATTATTCTCAGAAACACTGAATAACTCCAGCATAGCATGGTTAAAGAATGTAATGAATAAATTCATTTTTAATTGCTACGTCCTATTATGTCTGTGCTGTTTTCTTTCTTTCTCTAAAAGAAGCTCTGCTTTGGCATGAAGTGCATTTTGAAAAAACATAGTTGAAAATAGTGAAATATCTGACCCATGAGTGCATAGAAGTGCACAATGACTGAAGTTTTTAAAATTATGAAAAATATTTTTTTCCATTTTTCATGTTCTCTTAGGACCTACATAGTTAGGCATAGATTGGGGAGCAAAGCCAATTTAGCCACTTTGTTCAACTGAGCTGGATGAGAGGGCTTCATTTGAGCAGTCAGTCCTCTAAGTTAGAAGGGGAAGGAGCTTTGGAGAACTGCATAAAAATAATCCTTAGGTAAGGGAGTTAGTTATATTGGATTCATCTTCAGTCCATGCTGTTTGGTTCTTTAAGACATGTAATAGGAAAATAAATCAGCTTTGAAATATAGACGTTGTTTCAGAATGATAGCGGAGGCAAAGTTTTAGGAGATGGAAAGAGTGTTGAACACATCCACACAGGGAGAGGGAAGGAAGCCCGTGGCATAATGTGGCGAGATAACAAATAAACGTGAGATAAAGGACCTGCATGACTTGACCAGACGGATGGCAGAAGCCGGATTATTGTGAAATGAAAGTCCATGGAAAATGAATGAAATAGAAAGATTGTGCGACGGATGGAGGTAAAAAGGTAGTGTGGCTCTTCATCTCCCTGCAACGCCAAAGCAATAAATGAGTGTGTTTCATCGTGGCTGGTTCAGGGACACAACTCCTTCTGCCAGGCAGGCTTGTGTCACCGTGCTTCTCGGTGAACTCTGCTTATCTCCCGCTCTGACAGCTCGAGAGGAAGGACTGGATTCAGTGATAAAATTAAATTGATGAAACCGTTAGTCATCATCTAATTTTTCAGGGCTGCTTTTCCTTTCTCTTTAAGAATTGGTATGCGTACCTCTGGTTTCTAGTGACCCGTGTAATAACAGTAATTTGAGATTGCTGCGAGGATATTAGATGTGATGAGTGAACTTGAATTTAGAACAAAAATATGGGATTCATGTATCCATATCTAAACAGTGGTGATTCAGTGATTGCAGAAGCTCAGTCCCAGTAGCATTATGTAGGGAGACATGGGATAAGAAAATTGTACTTTTTTTTTTTTGAGGCATAGAAAGATAACCTGTTTTCTTAAAGCCATCAATATTCACAGTATACACACATACACACACATATATATACATATATAATTATATACACTCATACAGATTGATAGAGCTATATTAAAAATACAGGTG